ACTCTCTAATATAATTAAAGCTATTAATATTTTAAAATAGACTATATAAGATTAAAGTAATAGGCTTTAGAGGTATTTAAGTTATAGATTTACTACCTAGTTACTAAGTATATAATATTTTTAACTTAAGCTAGCTATAAAAAGCTAGTAATAACTTACTATTAAGATAATATACTATACTATTACCCCTTATTAAATATATTAATAGCCCTAAATTTAAAGTTAATAAGGTTATATAATTATAGATTTACTAATAGAAATTATAATATTATATTAACTAGTTAAGTTATAATAAGAACTCTAAATAGTATAATATAGAGGCTTTTAAGTATACTCTAGTAGTAATATAGGCTTTTTATAATATATACCTTACTACTAAAGGCTTACTAAGGAACCTATAGTTATAACTAAATACTACTACTATAGATATAGAGCTCCCTATATAAGATAATAATAATATAGCTATAGAAGGCTACTATACACTAGAAAATAATAGTAATAATAGCGTTTAATATATATAAGCTATATAGCTCCTAATTTTAACTTTAGCCTTAGCTATATATAGAACGCCTAATCTCTTATAAAACTAAGTTAATCTTTAATTTTATTATAGGGAGAAGAAGCTTATAGGTAGAGGATTTTTGCTTTTATATATATAATAGATGGTTTCTATAGATAGGAACCTATATAGAAGGAGGGGGGGGTATTATTATAGTACTAACACTATACCTACCTTAGAGCGCGTTATATACCTAAGTATATAACTTATAGTAAGCGCGTTAGGCGTACCTATACAGCCCTTATACGCCTACACCCCTACTTCTAACTTTTTCCTTCTATAACTTAATATTAATTAATTTAGGTTAGTACTATTATGTAATGGCTATCACTTATAAAGCCTACTATTATAAAATTACCTATTATAGTAATTCCTATAATTAGCTAAAATAAATAAAAACTATATATTAGGTTAACTACTATAAAGAGTATATGTTAATAGAATAATAAATCCCTAAATAATAATATAGTTATTATTAACTAAAATTAATATTAAGTTAAGACTTAAAACTAAAATAATAGAAACTAATAATCTATAATAAATCTATAAACTATAACTATAATAATACTATAGATCTAAAATATCTAAATCAGATTAAATAAAGCCGTAATAATTAGCTTTATAGTAAGGTTTTTATAGTTAATTACCTATTATAGAAATTACTTAATTAAGTAATTACCTAACTAAGTAAGGGTTTATAAAGAAAAAATGTATTATATATATGATAGATTTTTCTACTTAGAACAGATTTTAAGGAAGTAAGTAATTCAACAGTTTTACTTATTTAACTACTATTACTACTACTTATTATTATTACCTTTTACCTATTATTACTATTATTAGTATTATTTCTTTTATATTAATAATAACTATTTATACTAGCTATAAATAGTTATTCTTAATTATTAGGAATTTTATTATAATAACTAATAAAACGAAAAGTTTCTCCCTTTTACTATATTATATAATATTCCTACCCCTAATAATATCACTTTAATTATATATGCTTTTATAAAGTAACTAACTTAGAAGTAATATTAGTAAATAAAGAGGTATTTAAAATAATCTATATAGTTATTAAGTTTATAGTTATAACGCAGCCCCCTTATAAAAAGACTATAGTAAAATTCACCTTATATATAGGTATACTTCTAGAAACACTATATAGGCATTTTAACCTATACTCTCTACTAATTAAGGAAAATAGTATAGAAACCTTATATATCCCTACTAATAGGTAAACCCTTTAAATATTATAATGTTAAATATGCGCCCTAGCTAAATAGATTAGTAGAATAGTAATAGTACTAGCTAGGGTTAGCAAACTAGTCACCTAGTATTTAGTTAGACTAGTTAGTTAACTAGTCTAGTCAGACTTAAGTTAACTAATTTAGTTGACTTGACTTAACTAGCCTAGTCTTAGTTAATAGGGTGACTTGACTAGCTTAGTCCTAGTCAGCCTGTTGACTTAACTTGACTTGACTAAATCCTAACCCTAGTACTAGCTATATAGTATAAGGCTAGTGGCGCTATACGTAGTAGGGCTAATTATATTAGAGCTGAATAAGTTACTAAGGCTCTTATAGCGATAGCTTTACTAAACTCTCTAGTAAGGTTCTATAAATACTACTATATAAGAGATAACTCCTTAATTAAAGAAGTTATTAGAAGAGGTTCTTATAACTAGAAGTATAAAAACTATATTATTATATATAAGGCTTTATACTTATCTCTCTTCCTCTTCCTCTTTTTTATTAACTTATAATAAGTTCTTTATAATATTTATACTATAAGAGATATATAAGAAAATTAATCCCCTATAAAGTATACTTTTTTATAAGTAAATAACTAAAAGTATTACTATATAGGATAATATCTATATACTAAATAAAGCCTTTAAATTTAGTAAGTACTTTTTTACTAATTAGTAGTATATTATTAAGATAGTAATAGCTAGAGTTTTTATAAATACTTCTAAAGGGGACCTTTTCTATACTATAATTAAAGTGATAAATAATAACCTTAAATATCTCTATATAGAGGCTATATATATCTCTAGTTATTCTAAAGAGTAGTCCTTCTTTATATAAACCCTCTATAATACTAAGGTAGAAGTAACTTAAACTTAGGTATAAGTATAAGTATAATAAGGCTTATTAATAAGTACACCTTATACTAACTAATAGAGAGAGTGTTACTAATAATAGTATAGCTATAAAGGTGTTAGCTAGCCTAATTAAATAAGAAGACTATAATAATAGTAATAACTTAATAGTAGATAGTAAAGTAGTAATAGAGATAGTATTAGTAGTATAAGTAATATATAAGAGAGAGGATAAGTTAATAGTTTAGTAGTCTATAATAATTAAGTAATTAAGTAATTAAGTAATTATAAACTATATCGTTATTAAAGTGAAGTTAAAGATTATAAAGTTATCTAGTAGTATATATATAAGTGTAGCTATAGTTAGGAGAGTTATAATTATATAACTAAAGGCTGTGTGTATTATTAGGAGGTGTGGAGTTAGGAGGGTCTGTTCCTCTAAGCAGGTAAAAATCACTATAAACAGCTAGAGGCCTCTATATAGTTATTAATAAGCTTAATAATTAACTTAATAACTTAATAATCCTATAATAGGTTAATAATAAACTAGTTATAGATCTAATATAAGTAACTATAGTTAATAATATTTTAGTATTAATAATATTAAACCTTATAGTAACTCTATTAATACTATTATTAGTATTATTACTCCTTAAATTAAATATTACTTAGGAAATAAGTAGTATTTAATACTTAAAACCTCTCTCTAACTTCCTTAAGTTTAGAGGAAATTATAATAAGTATACTATATAGGTATAATAGATATTTAATAAGATTAAAATAGATTAAACTTTTTATCTAAGTAACTAAGAAGTATAATATTTAATTAACTTCTATTTAGAACTTAAAATATAACTAGTTATTATAACTTTTTATAACTTAAGAAGTAGTAATAGTTTATTTAAACTAAATATTTTCTTAGTATACTTAAACTATATTTATAATAACCTAAATATAGAAAGTAAAATTCTTAGAAAGTTATTAAAGTTTAAGATAAAACATAATAAAACCTTTATTTTATTCCTTCTCTATTTTAAATATATTATTATAGAGGTAAATAATATAATTTAGCTATATAGTATTTAAATTAATTATTTATATAAAGTATTATTATATAAGTTCTTTAATTATCTAATTAATTACTTAACCCCTTATAAATGTATTAGGTATATAAACTTTATACAAGATATTACTTAGAAACTAAAAGGATTATACTATATTTATAATATTTTATACTAGTTTATAACTTTTATAATAAAGCTATTATTTCTAAAAATAGATATAGATAGAGATATTAAGATAATAAGGTTAATGTATACTTTATATAAAGGAATAAATAAAAACCTTAATAGAGAAATATATTATTATTTTAAACATAATTGAGTTAACTATTTATAGAAAAATTATTAAAAAATTAAAAATTTAAATAAGAGTCCTAAAGTAATAAAAGTTAGTAAAGAAGTAATATATATAGATTTAAAAGAGACTAAAAAAGAAGAAGATACTTCTAATTTAGGAAATAAGTAATTTTAGTATAAAATTAAGTATTAGGGATAATAGAGGAAGAGTAAACTGATTAGGAATAGTTCTAATTAGAATATAATATAAATAAACTTTCTATAATATTAATAGTTAGAGTTAATAAAAGTACTTTTATTAATATTTTAATAAATTATAGTTATAATATCTATATAATAGTAGATTATTAATATACTTATTACTTCTATTTACTATATATTAACTACTAAGTATAATAATTATAAAGCTTTATTAATAATTTAACTTAAGTTATTATAAAAAGAGTAATTATATTATATTTTAAAATTAGAAACTATATATAAGAACTATTTATTTATATAATAGAAAAGTTAGATATTAACAGGGTTAGGATTAAGTTAAGTTAAGTTAAGTTAATAGGGTGACTAAGACTAGGCTAGTTAAGTCACCCCATTGACTAAGACTAGGCTAGTTAAGTTAAGTCGACTAGCTAGTCAGACTAGTTAACTAGTATAAATTAGTATAAATATTATAAATTAATTAATATTAGTTAATATTATATAATAATTAATAATAATTAATAATAATTAATAATAATTAATAATAATTAATAATAATAATTAATAATAATTAATAATAA